CCCTGATGTTTCCACCAACGCATTTAAAAAGTACTGTAATTTATGATTTAATTTGTTTTGTTATATAAAACTTTATAGAACTGATTTGGAGTTAGACTGACACAGGGTCTCATGAGTCTGTGTTCACAGGACATACTCATGTTTGGTTCTAGAATAAACTGTCCCTTAACTTTCTTTGAGGTGAGAGTTGTGTTTTTGCCTCCATGCCCCCTTTATTTACAAAAAGTCAAGATTTTATTTAAATAAAGATATCCATAAACCAAGTCCGAATTAGGTGTGGTTTATTATTTATTATTAATATATAAGGGTGAGCTTGGAGATTTTAAGGAGAGGAGTACTAGAAGAACTTCTAAGGTGGTAATTTGTTTTGTACTGTAGATTCCTCCTTCCACCATCAGATTACCCAATTAATGTATAACATCACAAAGTATGAAGACTGTTACTCTGTTAAGTCCTTGAGGGTGGTGAAGTGAGGAATTGTTGGTAGACAATGTCTTGGGGTTATTAGCAGGCCACTAAGTAGTTCATTGACACTCAGGTGATTTCCTAGTGTCATCCAGTATTTATAAGGGGGTTGGTGGGTTTTTTTTTTTTTTTTGTTTTTTTTTTTTTTTTTTGAGACAGGGTTTCTCTGTTACTTTGGAGGCTAACCTGGAACTAGCTCTTGTAGACCAGGCTGGTCTCGAACTGACAGAGATCCGCCTGCCTCTGCCTCCGCCTCCCGAGTGCTGGGATTAAAGGTCTGCGCCACCACTACCCTGCTGGTGTTTCATTTTTAAGATTTTATTTATTAAGTATACAGTCTTCTGTCTGCATGTGCCCTGCCGTCAGCAGAGGGCATCAGATCTCATTCAAGGTGGTTATGAGCCACCATGTGGTTGCCGGGAATTGAACTCAGTACCTCTGGAAGAGGTGATCTTAACCTCTGAGCCATTTCTTCAGCCCTAGACATTTCTTTTGTGATACTAGAATTAAAGGGGTATTTAGGTCATTGGGTCACCTTTCTCCATCACCCACATTTTCCCCTGTACCCTTTTAGCTAATGCCAGGTCCTGTTTGTCCCAGTATGGTGGGGGTGTCTCACTGTTAGACTAGTAGGGCCATCTATGGCTTGCTCGGAATTTGCCCAATGAGGAGGCTCTGTTGGCAGCCTGTGGGGAAGCCAGTTTCCAGTCTGGATTTTCCTTACTTGTGGAATGCTGTATTGTTGGCTTCTATTACTTCACAGAAAGTAACAGGAAAGCGTGGCCACATCTGCTTCAAGAGCTCCTGAATACTGTCCAAGGGTGTTGTCAGCCTGAGATCCTCAATGAACTCTTCAAATAAGAGTATTGGAGTTCACAGAGAGGGGCATGGGTCTTGACCTTCCAAAAGCTACACACAAAATCTGTACCTTTTCTAAACTTCTTTGATTTCCTAGAAAAATAAAGATTTTTCAAGTAACCTGTGGTTTTTCCTATTTTTTTAAACTGATTTCTTGTATTTGGACTTTCTGTATATGAACTAATTATATAGATGGGACAGCTATAGATTATTTTTCTAACACTTTTTAATTCTTTTGGAAGGAAACAGATAAGGAAATTAGTATCAAGAGAACAAACAAAGCTGTGTGGAGTTGTCCAGGCGTTTGTGTGTGTGTGTGTAAGGAATATTCTATTGTCTGTCATTATAGTTGATGGTTCTTTATTTGTACACAAAACTTCAGTTCCATACTACATCTGAGGAGAGCCCTTAGGTTTTCTGTTGTTGTTTAGTTGGTTGGCTTTTGGTTTTTAATACAGGGTTTCTCCATGTAACTCTGGTTGTCCAGGAACTCAGGACCAGGCTGGCCTTGAACTCACAGAGATCCACCTGCCTCTACTTCTTGACTGCTGAGATTAAAGGTGTGCACCACCACTGCCTAGCTAGAGTCCTCTGTTTGTTTGTTTGTTTGTTTTATGATCTCACACAGTTTAGAATTAGTCCAGGACTTGCTCCAAAACTGGCATGAAGAACCAAGTTCTTCAAATTCCTGTTTGTTTCCAAATGGTTCGTTGCTCTTTCCCACTAGGCACTTGTGAAGTTCCTAAGTGTTAAATGTGTGCAGTTAATCTTTGGACAACACAAGGGCTGGGTATAGCACCTTCTTCTGCTCTTGACAATCCAAGCATAACTTCAGACTCCCAGCAATAGTAAGAGATGGCTGTCCGATATCACAATAGTGTCATGTAAGGTAAGTTTATGCACTTGGAGGTTTATCCTATATTTTCAGTCATTTACATTTTTCCCAGCTTCAAGTATTACCATGTAAAAGTCTGTTTGCTTAAGCTTGTATAAATTTTTTGTTTGTTTTCATTTTAGTTTTTTGTTTGTGTTTTGAGACAGTTTCTCTGTGTAGCTTTGGAGCCTATCCTGGCACTCGCTCTGGAGACCAGGCTGGCCTCGAACTCACAGAGATCCACCTGCCTCTGCCTTCTGAGTGCTGGGCTTAAAGGCGTGCGCCACCAACACCCGGCCTCCATTTTGTTTTTTGAGACAAGAGTTTCTCCCTATAGCTCTGACTATTCTGGAACTCGCTCTGTAAGTTCAGACTGTCCTCTAACTCAAGAGATCACCTACCTGCCTTTGCCTTCTGAGTGCTGGGATTAAAGACATGCACCACTACTGCCCTGCTAAATTTGTATAAATTTTAACTTTTTGTAATATATGTATTTATTTATAGTAGTAAACAAGGTATTATCTACATGTATTTTATGCATTCATGGCATACCTAACATTTTCTTAATATTTGTAATATTTCTAGGCTACATAGTTCATCTACGGTTTTTTCACATTTTCATATATATTAAGAAAATTGCATATTAATAGACCCACAGAGCTCAAACCCATGTTGTTCAAGGGTTAGCTATACTTACAATCCTATGCTAGCATTTATTTATAGTTTGACTGCTCATGTTGAATCATTATTGAAACCAGTTAGTAAATCTTCTTAATCTCTTATGTATCTTTTATTTTAAAAATGTATAGATTGTGGGGCGTGGTGGCACACACTTTTAATCTCAGCACTCAGGTGGCAGAGGCAAGTAGATTTCTGTGAGTTTGAGACCAGTTTATTCTATAAATTGAGTTTAGATTAGCCAAGGCTGCCAAATGAGATCCTGTCTTCAAAAAAAAAGGGTAAGTCAAAAGAAAAGGGAGTTCCAGTTGAGGGATTGCTAAATCAGATTGATGTGTGAACTTGTTTGCAGCAGGCTGTCTTAATAGTAATATAGGAGGGCCTACTGGGGATGGTGGTACCATTCTCTGAGTAGGTGGTCCTGGGCTGTATGAGAAAGCTGGCAAAGGTTCTGGAGAGATGCGGCAACAGATAAAAGCACTACTGCTCTTAAAGGACCTGAGTTCAGTCCCCAGCACTCATGGAACTCTTATAATTCCCACTTAAGATATATGATGCCTTCTTCTGGTCTCTGTGGGCGCGCGTGTGTGTGTGTGTGTGTGTGTGTGTGTGTGTGTGTGTGTGTGTGTGTTCGCGCACGCGCACTTTCTTATACTCACAGACCTAAAAAAAAAAAGGCTAGCTAAGCAGGAGCCTTGAGTAAGCCAGCAAGCAGTGATTCTCCATGGTTTGTGCTTCCAATTCCTGCTTGAGTTTCTGCCCCGACTTCATTCAATGATGGGTTGTATCCTCTAAGCTGGAATAAACCTTTTCCTCTTAGTTGTTCTTGGTCATAAAACTTGTCACAGCCACGAAGGTGAAGCTGGAACAGAATGTTAAGGTGAATGAGCAAGTCTTTGGTTGAGTTTAATGTTTCCTTGCCTGTCACACTATTTGTCTTTAGAGGGCTCAAGTCTAAGATGTTAATCTCCTACCTTGGACAGTGCAGAATATATTGTATAGTATTTTATGAGTTAATACCCTGCATGTAAATGTGTCTGGTAGATTTATTCTAGTCCCAGAATTTGTTGTTGTTTTTGTAGTTTTTCGAGACAGGGTTTCTCTGTGTAGCTTTAGAGCCTGTCCTGGAACTCACTCTGTAGACCAGGATGGCCTCAAACTCACAGAGATCCACCTGCCTCTGTCTCCCGAGTGCTGGGATTAAAGGCGTGCACCACCAACTCCCGGCTGTAAGATTTAATAATAACTTAAGAGCTAAAGCCTTAAGTGACCTTAACTGGTTTTACAAGGGGTTGATTCAGTCCCCCATTGCACTCACCCCTGCATTTCCTGTTAAGGTATGACCTTATTTATCTTCATTTTAATACAAGTCATCAAAGTGGAATATTCTTCAACTTTTCTATTTCTTGATCGTCTTCAGGGTCCTCAATAATATTCATGAAAATAAAGGTATCAGAGTCCCCAGTGCCTGAGCCATTTTCCCACTTATATGATAACTTCTGAGAAGTTTTTGCTGAGAAGTCTTCATCAGAGTCACCCCTGGACTAAGTCAGAAAACTCCTGGATTTACACTTGGCCTGCTGTAGCACTTGAATTGTGTTAATAGCAGATTAGTTACTTAAGACGGCAGATACATGAAACTCTGTAATAGGTGGAATCCTTGTGTATGCCTGGTTTTTAGGACAGTTCTTGATGTATAATATTTAGAAGTAGGTGCTAAGAGAATGTCTCTTAAAGATACATTATGAGAGTATGATTATAATATGTTTTGTTTTTAAAATTACACCCATTTTTTGCATTACTGTTCTGTCTTGGCTTTTGACATATAAACTGGTTTTACAAATCAAGCTTTATTTCATAATTAGAAGGAAACTTGTCAGTCCGTAGGAGTCCGGAGTTTCATGTCTGACTCTGACCCGAACAAGTAATAGGAGTTCCAGACAAGGTTTTACATTCTGGTGCTGTTAACACCCCTCCACAAGTAATGGCCTTAACCTACATATCTAAGAAGATCTTCCTGTCTGACATTGGTGTTAAACACATGGTTTTGTTTTTATGCAGTACTTTATTAAAGTGCATGCAAACATAGAGCTACCTATGTATTAAAATAACCTTGTTTTTGCAGGAAGGACGATAAAGACTACGCTTTAAAACAAATAGAAGGAACTGGAATCTCCATGTCAGCATGCAGAGAAATAGCAGTAAGTGAAGTTTTTGTAATTACCATATCAGCTGACTTTGAGTCTCAACTGGCAGGTCTCTGCTGTGTTTGCCATCATATGAATTGAAAGCTGGTAAATATTTTTCTAAAACAAGTATTTATAGAAAAAAATTTTAAGAAGTGAAGTTGGCATTTATTTATTTGGGGTAAAATTAATTTCACTTATTTATATGAACACCTCCCCCCAATAAACATCACTAATTCTTAAAGTTCCTGTTGTAAGTCTAGTCAGTGACAGTCAGTTATCACTATAAAGCTAACAGTTTTCTATGGCTGGAGTGAGATTAATGTCTTCATGTATACTAGATAAAATTGAAATTCTGTTTTATTATCACCATGTCCATTTTCCGTTTGGAATCAGAGCTTTCCATGTAGTAATTAGAATCTCCTTACTCCAAAGGAAATATTCTCATATTGATACAGTTAATAATTGTGTATATATTTAAATGAAATATTGCATCCTTGAGATTGACTTGAGCTTTTGCTCTTATAAATCTGTGGCTCTGAGCTACTGAGATGGCTCTGTAGGTAAGGTGCTTACTATAAGCTATATAACCAGAGTTCAGTCCCCAAACCTTCATGTTAGAATGAGAGGACCAACTCCCACTAATTTTTCCTCTGACCTTTACATACACATGCTATGATGCAAACACATGCACAATGACAATAATTTTTTTTTTAAAATGTGGTTCCAAATGTATGTTTCCTGACTTTATAATCAGACTTTTATGGGTATATATCACAGTCATTGCCTGTGTTATTGCTTTAGTTTTCCTGTCTGTACATAAATGTGGCTTCTGTAATCTAGAAATGTTCATTTAAATAAGTACACTCATTTAACAGATTCATGCTGATGTATAAGGATGGCCATTTGTTGGCAGCACATTAAAGTAGGAAAAATGAAGATACACAAATTTGGGTCTCTGTGTCTGAGTATTTTTACACTGCTGGGAAAAGAGAGTCATAAATCTTAACAGTGCAAATAAGTGAGCCCAGTATCATGGTAGAAATACATGGGAAAAGGAAAGAGTGCTTGTTGAGTAGAGTTGGTAAGGCATCTATTTCCATGGTATCTTGAGCAATCCAGAGCAATGGCAATTGTAACAGGCTTTCTTTTGGGGCCACAAACCAAATAAAGACATGGAGACTTATTATTGTAAATGCTCAGCCTTAGCTTAGGCTTGTCCCACTAGCTCTTATAACTTATTTTAACCTGTTTTTCTTCTTCTGTTTTGCCTTGGGTTTTTTTTTTTTCCCCCCTTTCTTTCATTCTGTATGTTCTACTCTGTGTCTGGCTGGTATCTGGCTGACTGGCAGCTGGCTGGCTCCAGGCATCTCCCTTTAATTTTCTCTTGTTCTCTCTGCCTGCCAGCCCTGCCTGCCCCTCTACTGCCTGGCTATTGGCCAATTAGCTTTTTATTAGACCAAGGTGCCTTAGGCAGGCAAAGCAACATATCTTTACATCATTAAACTAATACAATATACACAAATGTAACAAACCTTTGCATAGTTGAAGTAATATTCCACAGTAGGCAATAGCCTGAATTATTTTGGAGGGTCTCCACACACTGGCACTGGGAGGAGCTTAATCCACTCAAGTGAGGTCACTCCATTACAAAGATAAGTTTGTACACATTTATATATTTTAACAATATGTCTGAGCATTATGAACACAACATTTTAAATGTGAGACTGAAATTTACATTAATAAACATAGAAAATTAGTTTTGGACTACTTAATCTGACCTTTAATTGCTTACCCCAAGCCCAAAGGGCATAGGCAAATGGCTATAACTTTTAATTATACTCTTTAATAAAACTAAAAAGTGGTAGTTTTCTATATGGCTTTTTTATGCATCCTTAGTTTTGGTTAATCCTTTACTCTGTGTCCTGCCACTGTGAATGGCAGTAGATGATGACGCAGACCATCCCAAAGGGCTTTTTCTAAAAGTATACAAATACAAATCACTAAAGAGCACAAAGGGTTCCCCAGTGACCATAGACCCTTAAGACAGCCCTCAGCATATAGACAAGAGGCCTAGAAATGGCAACAACTATATACAAGCTCCAAACAGCACTCCAGGCACCAAACAAGTCTAGCTAGTGTGCAGCAGTGACTGCTTGGAAGGACAGCAACTGTGGAAGGACAGAGGCACTTTCAGTTACTAATGGCTCCCAGGGCAGAGGCAAGCAGTTCCATAAGTGAACTTCATACAGGCGTGGCTCTGAGCACCTCTAAGAAAATGTGATAGGTAAAATCAACATGAAACAGTGGAGCAATATGCAGGGAACACCAAAACCCATCTCCCACCAGTTTGTTGGGAGCAGTTAACAGGTGGGTCATGTGGACTTTGGAGAAGCAGCTGATAGGGCGTAAACCATCTGGATCCCTTTGTTTCCCTAACTGTGTTCAGCCACTCATTCCAGCGTTGCTTCTAAGCTTCTATTTCTCCATGTTAGGTGTATTTCAATTAGCTATCTTTCCCCACTCTTCTTTATTTTAAATGATTATTTTGTGTACCTGGTATTTTGCCTGCATTTATGTCTGTGTGAAGGTGTCCAATCACTTTGAGCTGGATTACAAACAATTGTGAGCTGCCATGTGGGTGCTGGAAATTGACCTGGGTCCTCTGGAAGAGGGACCATTGCTCTTAACAGCTAAGCCATCTCTCCAGCCCATTTTTTCCCCACTCTTGGGATAAGATATTTATACACCAATGATGGTTCGTCAAATTATTTTCTCCTTACACAAGTCAGTCTTAACAAACACAAATTCATTCAACACTGCGTGGTGATGTAAGAAGTTATGCTAATTATGACTGTTAATGGTAATAAAGTGACTGAAAGGAACAAGGGGAGCTTTTAAAGTGCTGATAATATTTTGGGTATTTTTTGATGTGGATTTGGTCCCATGGGTTTAATACGTGAAAATTCATTGAATTTGGCACTTGTGGTTCGTGTATTTGTGGTTAGTCAGAGGACAGCTTGCAGGACTGGGTTCTCACCTTCTACTGTGTGAGACCCAAGAATCAAATTCAGGTTGATGATGAGTGCCTTTAAGCTGCTAAACCATCTCATGACCATGAATTTATTGTTTTTAATTGCTTTTTTAAAAATTCACTTCCAATTAAATAGAAGCATCACATTAAAATTAACCAGATCCAAAGTCTGTACAGGTTAATGAACTTACATATAGCTGGAATTAGCATTTAAAACAGAAATTATGAAGTTTCACATTAAATTTTATACTCACTATCAAGTATATATTATGTAAATATCCCCCACCATACAAATGACAAAACTTAGTGCTGGGCTAAAGGCTTATACAAACATGGCCAGCTATAAAATGTCTTTGTAGATAAACTCAATTGAATTTTGGATCAAATGTGCTTACCCTTACCTATATCTCAATAAATGTAAATGCATTTACACATAAAGAAATAGCAAAGTGTTCATTTAGTTTACCTGTCAACGTATTATGCATTTTAACTTGGGCAGGAATTGTTTTTGTTTTTTTGTTTTGTTTTGTCTTTTGTTTTTTGTTTTGTTTTGTTTTCTTTTTTTTTTTTTTTTTTTCTTTGAGACAGGGTTTCTCTTTGTAGTCTTGGCTGTCCTGGAACTCATTGTGTACAACAGGCTGGAATTGAACTCACAGAGATCCGCTTGTCTCTGCCTCCCAGGTGCTGGAATTAAAGACTTGCACCACCACTGCCCAGCTCAGTTTGGTTCTTAACTATGTATTAGTAATGAAAATCTTAGGAGGGTTCCTATTGTTCACTTTGATCTGTTGTCACTCCTACCCAGGCTAGGCTATGACACACATCATCACACACATCATCAGCATGTTCTAGATGTAGTGCAACCATTCCTCAGGAAGCATTTATAACAGGGAAGGAAAGAATTTTGAGAGGTTCTTCCAAAGCCAGGACATCACAAAGCTCTCTTTTGTTGTGAGCTGTTGTCACATTCATTTCCATAATTCCTATGGGCTGGAATCCCTTTAGCTTAGTATACTGGCTAACTGTGCAGTAGGTATAAGTTGCCCATCACCTGTATACCAGAGAGTATCTGATAGATGGGATGGGTCCATGGTTAGACAACGCACTTCACTCCAACCTCAGTGTCTCTTTTTAATCAATTTCTAAGAGTTTGGTTGAAGAAAGACTCTTCAATTTTTTAATTAATTAATTAATTTTGGGAGGTGTTCGAGACAGGGTTTCTCTGTGTAGCTTTGGAGCCTATCCTGGCACTCTGTAGACCAGGCTGGCTTTAAACTCAGAGATCCTCCTGCCTCTGCCTCCCAAGTGCTGGGATTAAAGGTGTGCTCCAACACCTGGCTAAAAGATTCTTCAATTTAAATTTTGAAATAATTTGGAATAATTAAGGTTCAGTTTAACTATTACCATGATTAAGATAGACATTTAGAACTTGGTTTTGCTTTTAGGAACAGCTCATGTTAGAATATGGTGTCAGAGTTGGGGAGATGGTTTAGTTGGTAAAGTATTTACCTTGCAATCACCAAGATCTTTATTCAGTTCTTAACATCCAAGTAGAAATGTCTGCCATGGCCATAGCAGGGCATGCTTGTAATCCATGTGCCTGAGAAGTAAAGACGGGAGGCTCCCTGGGACTTCCTGGCCAACCAATCTACTGTAATTAGAGAGCTCCAAGCTCCAATGTCTAAGGATGATACCAGAGGTTGTCCTCTGGCCTGTACACACACATACACTCCATATGCACAGACATGCACCTGCACACACATGTACAAATTCATAATTTTTTAAGAAAAGAAAACACTCATTTTGAAAAAACTAGAAATTTTCTTACCTAGTCTTTTTCCTCTTCACTCTGAGTGGCATATATTGACATGTATGTTTTTAAGTATTACTATTTTTGTACTTTCCAAGTCTAAATTAAATATAACTAGGGTGAATTAGGTTTATAGTGAATGATATATTCAAAGTAGACATACACTCAGAAAATTAAAATTTCCCTCACTGGTGAAATTGGAAAAATAAGTGGTTTCTTTGAATAAAGTGGGTATGGATGCATTTAAACCTTTTATTTTGTAATGATTAACCAGCTCTCCACAAATGGAAAAAAAAAAAGTTCTGCTGAAAGCCAGTTTAGTCCCTGGGATCCAGCTGTCTCCACTGACCAGCTCTGGGAATACAGGCATGCACTGCCATGTCTGGCTTAATAAATACATTTTTGATGATGCTATATTTAATTTAGGATTTATCAGAATGTAAATCTATTGTAAGCTGAGGAGTGTCTCTTTATAAATGGAATGTTTTCACCTAGAAAAAACTTCTACATGCTCCAACAAGGATGGACCTTGAAGATAATACTGAGTGAATGAGCCAGACACAAAAGGATGAGGCTGAGTTTGATCCCTAGGATCTACCAAAAAAAGATAGGCATAGTGAGTAATACATGCCAGTGCTTGTAATCCCATGAAAGAGGAGGTAAGAATGGATGGATCTCTTCGGCTCACTAAATTCCAGGCCAATGAGACATCCTGTCTCATGGATGGATGGATGGATGGATGGATGGATGGATGGATGGATGGATGGATGGATGGATGGATGATAGGTAGATGACTAAATAAACCGGTTGGGGAGATGACTCTGTGATTAAGCATTTGCTCTTCTAGAGGATATGAGTTTGATCACCAGCACCCACATCCGGTGGCTCACAACTGCTTATAACTCCAGCTCCTGGGGATCTGGTTCCTACTTCTCCTCAAAGTGGCCACCTGCACATGTAGCAGACACACAGATACACATGCATACACATAAAAATCAATCAGTCACATGGATGGCACCTCAAAAGTGACGCCCAAAGTTGTCCTTCCTCCTGCTAGCTCCTCGGTACTGGGAGTACAGGTACATATCTGTCAACCCAAATGAGAAAGACAAGGTGTAATGAGAACCAACACTAGCTGCCTACCATAGAAACCCTTAGGAAAAGGTAGTAGAGTTTACCTGGAGCTGGACCATTGATTGATACAGCATTTCTGCTTGGAATGTTGAAAAAATTTTATAGTAGTGATGGTTCTACAGCATTGAATATATTTAATGCCATCAATTTGTGGATTTAAAAATGGCTATAGTTGAAGCCAGGCATTGGTGACGCACGCCTTTAATCCCAGCACACAGGAGTCCGAGGCAGGCAGATCTCTATGAGTTTGAGGCTAGCCTGGTCTACAGAGCAAGTTCCAGGACAACCTCCAAAGCAATACAGAGAAACCCTGTCTCCACAAACAAAAACAAAACAAAAATGGCTATAATTGTAATTTTAATAAAAAGTTAAAATCACCAGTCAAGCAACAAATGACAGATTTGCTGTTATCTTTTCTCAGTATCCTTTTCCCTGCAGGTTTTTCTGTCACAAAGCACCTGCTTAGCAATCACACTATGTGGGTGTTTATCGAATGTTTAATATCAGTAAGTGCTGGCTTTGTGTTGCCTTTGAATTGCTGCTGGGGTGGCTAGGTGGGGGGGTCTGATAATACTGAGCCCTGCTTTGTTGCCCAAGCTGGCTGTGGACTCCTGGGCATCATGTGATCTTTCTGCTTCAGCATTCATCATCAGAGACCTTTGTTCAGTTCTTAGCAGCCATAGAAATGTCTGCCATGGCAGTAGCAGGGCATGCTCATATTCTGTATATACATGTATGTATAATTCGGTGTGATTTTGTTTTCATTTTTTTCTTTTTTAGTGTTATCTTTGTGTTAAATTTTGAATGAATCTCCTTTGTTTTGTAGTTACTTCGAGAGCTTAAGCACCCAAACGTCATCTCTCTTCAGAAGGTGTTTCTGTCTCATGCTGATCGGAAAGTATGGCTTCTCTTTGACTATGCTGAACATGACCTCTGGGTAAGGTGGACTGCTTATGGTAGATAGGGCTGTTATTTTCAGTCAGCTTGGAAGTTTCTAAACAGTTAGCTTCCACTGCACTAGAAATCACCTCACCTGGAAGCTTTGGCTTTGTTCAGTGGGTAGAGTTACCTTATCAAAATGCCAGGAAGCAGAAGTGTTTCAGCTGTGGGGCTATTCATTTGCATATATTTCATGAGACATCTTAGAGGCTGAACTCATGTCTAAACTTGAAAGTCACTCTGCTTTAATTTTATATTTACCTTATACATATACCCTTAAGGAAGTGTCATACAATGTTTAGAATTATTTTGAATGTGAAACAGTGTTTCATGTTGTGGAATCATGTTAGCTCTCAGAAAGTTCTGAATGTCGAATCAAATCATTTTGGATCTTCAGGCTAGGGAGACTTCCTGGAGCATTGGCCTTTGTAAGAGACAGTAAAGAAATAAGAGGAGTTCAAGCATCTCAGAGCATTGTTTCCTAGTTACAGAGTTCATTAAAAGGTGACCTTATTTGCTATAAGGGTTTTTTTTGTTTTGTTTGTTGTTTTTTTTTTTTTTTTTTTTTTTTCGAGACAAGGTTTCTCTGGGTAGTTTTGGAGCCTATCCTGGCACTCGCTCTGGAGACCAGGCTGGCCTCTGCCTCCTGAGTGCTGCTGGGATTAAAGGCGTGCGCCACCGACGCCCGGCTGCTATAAGGTTTTGAAAGGGCATATTTTCCTTTGTCCTGTAGTGTGAAGGAATTTAAAATGAAGCAGTACTTGTTGGGTGAGCACAAGTGCTATAAAAGGATAGACAGGTCTAATGTCTGTCCCTGCCCCTGTCCTTTGATGCTAGGAAAGTCTCCTAATAATAGTCCTGAAGTTGTTACAAGCTGTATGAACTAAGTATGGGAAACTTATTAATCATTTCTTAGTTACTCACAATTGATATTTAATATGATGTGTTCCATTTTCATTGGCAGTGTGTTTTACTATATGAATGGCATACTTTTGCATAAGGAAAAATGGTTGCTGATGGGGCCACATTGTAGAACAAGATGAGTGCCAAAATAGATTGTAGTGTCTCTTGTGGGTTTGTTTCTTAGGTTTGTCTGGCCTGTGGCATTTTTACATATTTAGACTCAAATTGTGTATTTACGATTTCTCAAATGAATGATTATAGTTTACTGATTTAGCCAATACCATGAAAGACTCATACTGTATTGGTAAGAATGTAAATGCATCTTATCTTAAATCAACAAAAGAAAAACATCAATCAGCCTTACTATCGCCCATGTTCGTGCACCCAACCTTAATTAAACTAGTGAGTCACACACACACATACTATAGGACATGAAAGCAAGGAAGAGGATGGCATTTTACGTATAAGTTATGTTGTATACTTCGATATATATATAAGTAATTCACCATCGCCTTTTTTATTATTTTACTAATACTGAGGACAATGAATATTTTTAACATTACTTTAATAATTTCCCTAAAACTTATAACTTTACTACTTTTTCCTTCTTTAATTGGAATATTATATGTGGATTGACTAACATAAGGCAGCAAAAGTTATAATTAAGAGTTGTTTTGAAAATCATTTAGGCGTTAGTGTGATTTATAGCCTGTGTACTGTGTATTTGAGATTTTACTCTTGGAATATGAAGAATATGTAGGCAAGAGATTCCCATGCTATAGACTTTTATTTGTTTGTTTATTTATGTTTTTTAAGTGCTGCTTTTGGAAAAATAACTAATATTTGAAGTGGGACCTGAAGAAATACACCTTTAATTATCTTACCTCCTCTACTTGGTTTCTATTCTGGGAAGATTAAAGCTTCTAGTTCTTTAATATACTTTAAGTCTATTTTTATTGCATTTGGAGAGTCGGTGGGTTTTGTTCTTACTAACACAGACTTGATACCACATTTTAGGATAATGTGTTACATATTCTAAATTTTTAAGTAATATATGAGGTAAAAAAAACTGAGAAGAAACTCAAGGTAGCCTGGTGCTATTATTAAATGCCAACAGTTATGCACCAACGAATACATTTCTCTTCTCACTGCAGATGTTTTATTACATTTTCCCTCTTGGGAAATGCAGCCCCTAGTTTCACAGCTTACTAGTTATTCCTTCTGTGTGCTGTTCTGTATAACATCTGGTAAAAAATGAGATGTTAGCCTACAGTGTTAAGCATTACACTTCTACTCTCATTGTTTTTAACCACAAGAATTCACTTACTACACAATGAATTGCCCCTGTGTAGTGTGTGCTCGAGATGAGTGTGCAATGGTGTAGGAGGCATAGCTGACCCGAGATGTTCCTCAAATTTACAGGTGTTACAGAAGATATAGAAGCTCATCGTGAGCTTGAGAATTAGAAAGGGAGAACCCTTTCATGTACATTTACTTGTCAAGTGTTTTAGTTGATAAAGTTGTACTTCATTTCTCTATAGTTGTCTCGTCACTTGTACAGAGAAAGCTTTGCAGGGTAGGCTCTTTCCTCATCTGGACTCTATGTTTCTAAGTATAGCCAGCTATCTATTTGTTGTCTTTTCTTTAGTTTCTATATGTTGGGTGTGTTTTACTGAAACATCCATTTGCTCTTCATAACCTGTGAATATCAGAAATTGGTACCACACCTGTGCTCTTCAGTCAGTCAGTCAGAATTTTGCCCCCCCCCCTTTAGGGGGAGGTTCTGTTCTTAGAAATTCCTGCTGGATAAACAGGTCCATAGTGCCCCAGATATAATTAATTTTAATTATATTTTAAAATGAAGAGCACCCTAGTTCCAGCCTCTCTGTCTTCTTTCATTTCCTGAGACGCCATCACATGTCTTAAAAATGGAGCTGACCCCTTGGTTGTTAGGACATATGCTTCCTGTGTGTGTGCTAGCTCTGCTGTGCTGTAGTGTTGTCAGCATCTTGGCTGATCTCAGCACTGCCTGTTCTTTTTTTTTTTTTTTTTTTTTTTCTTTTTTTTTTTTTTTTTTTTTTTTTTGCCTGTTCTTATTTGTAAAGCTTCTTGTGGTATTTTCTTTCTTTCAGCATATAATTAAGTTTCACAGAGCTTCAAAAGCCAACAAGAAGCCAGTTCAGTTACCTCGGGGAATGGTGAAATCACTGTTGTACCAGATCCTAGATGGGATTCACTATCTCCATGCCAACTGGGTGTTACACAGGGATTTGGTGAGTTGATCCACAGCTGGGTTCAACCAGGAAATATGTTTATAGTGGGCACTTTTCCCATTCTGTAGAAAATTTTGCCATAGGTAAGTAGGCCTGCAGCTCTTGGGATGTGGTGGTATGTGTGTGGACTGTCCTGGTGCCATTGATAGGATACACTTACAGGAGGTGGCAGTCAGCTCTCTCCTCCATAGCTTTCTTCACTGTTAGCTTAGACAGTGCTGCTTACTGGGCCTAGTGCTGGCTGTTTCCACTAGAGTAGTTGGTCATCAAACTGTGAGAAGCTCAGGATAGACAGCTGCTGTCTCCACCATTTCCTGCAGTATTGTTAGAGCCACACTTGGATTTGAATGAGTGTAGGGAGTCAGATCCTCATACATGTGCAGCATGGACTTTACCTATTGAGCTGTTTCCCAGTCCTTGTCTACTTTAAAAACCCCATTCAATGGATTATTACTCATTAAGTCTTCATAGGTTTAAATTACTGGTCTTATTGCATAAATAAATGTGCTTTTTTTTTTTTTTTTTAGTTCTTTTGTATGTAAAGGTGGCTTTGTATCAGTATCAACACCTTTGTTTTAAACAACTACATGCACAGGGAGGAATTTTGTCTCTGACTACGTGTCACAGACTGAAGTGGAGCCCCGGGGCCACTGTGCTGTAGTGTTGATTCGGCCTTTCCTCTTGGATGAGGGAGTCTTGTCAGAGCGTTGAGCAGGAGTCATTTTGTCCTGGCTTTCACACTGTAGTACCTTTGGGACCAGTAACAAAGAAGTTTGTTTGAATCCTTTTCCTTATGCTAACTCCTTTCCTAATAGAATTAAAATATTGTGCTTATAAACAGTGGGTTTACAGGACAAAATAGATGAATCTTTCAGTTTTTTTTAATGAAGTTGAAGATAAATTTCAACCCCAGAAATAGTCTAAATAACATCTGTGTTTTTTCTGTCTGTTTTGTACTACCAGCTTTCTTCATGACTTACAAAAGAATGAAAATTCATTAAAAAATATATGTTTATTCAGGAAATTCTGAGTGGCTTTTTGTTTGTTTGTTTGTTTTCAAGACAGGGTTTCTCTGTGTGTCCCTGGCTGTCCTGGAACTCACTCTGCAGAGCAGGCTGGCCTCGAATTCACAGAGATCCTCCTGCCCTGCCTCCCAAGTGCTGGAATTAAAGTCATGCACCACCTCCAGCCGGCCTCTGAGTGGCTTTCTTAATTGATGTTTAAGTTTGTCACCCGACTGCTTGCAATAGAATGAACTAAAACCAGTGACAAAGAAACTAGAGATTCAGTTTCTCCTCTTTTGGTGAAGCTCTTATGTATATAAGAGCTATAACATGTAGAAATGCTGTCTGTGACTTGGGCTAGTGAAGAATAGGTTCTTTCAGAAGGTTCTGGTAAAGCCATCTCAACAAAAAAGGGCTTGGGAGACCAGAGCACCTTAACAGAAGGCAACAAAAAAAAATCTATTGTCTAGCTATAGATGCTTTCCAAATACTAATGATGAATACCAAAAGTTAATGGTGTTGTCACTGCATGCTAGCAATGCTGAGCAGTACTAATGTAGCCCTCTACAATGAGGTACTATGCATTACCCTTCTACATGCATCACACTACCTGCCTAGTCATGTATCCAGAAAGTTCTTCATATGGCAGCACCTCCTCTTGTGGCTTCCTTCCTTGAAGTGAGATTTCCCTGTTGTGCTCTGTTGGGTGCTTTTTTTTTTTTTTTTAAAATATTATTTTACATCCCAACTGCAGTTTCCCTCCCTCCTCTCCTCCCAGTTCCTCCCTACCACCTCTCTTCTGCAACCCTCCTCCAATCTGCTCCTCTATTTCTATTCAGAAAAGCACAGGCCTCCCATGGATGTCAACAAGACTTGGCACATCAAGTTGTAGTAAGACTGTACACATCCCTTGTATTCAGGCTGGACAAAGCAACCCAGTATGAGGAATAGGGTCCTAAAAGCCAGCAGAAGAGTTGGAGACAGCTCCTGCTCCCACTGTTCAGAGGCCCCCACGAAGACTAAGCTACACCACTATAACATGTGCGGAGGACCTAGGTCAGTCCTATGCAGGCTTCCTGGTTGTCGGTTCAGTGTCTGTGAGCTCCTTTGAACCCAGTTAGTTGGTTCTCTGAGTTTTCTTGTGGTGTCCTTGCTCTTTTTATGCATTGCTGGCCTGTGTCTCCCAGGCACACAGGTCTTAGAGCTGTTGTATGGACACTTAGCATGGCAGGTTCCCTTAAAGCTGATCACTGTTCAGATGCCAACCTCTCAAACCTAGCTTTCAGAGTGTAAGACTACATTTTCAAAAGTATAAGCACTTGCTGTCAGCTAAAACTTAAATTTGGATTTAATTTGGGGTCTATAATTCTTCAAAGTAGATATATGATGCTGATATATGTGGTAATGTTTACTCTCAGACTCTGTCCAGAAGCCACACAGCTTAGCTTCACATTCTCAAGCATTATATACAGATGAAACACTTAATCAGAGCAAATACAACTCATAGTCCATCATAGTTTCTGTGACTTTGAAGTAAGGTTAGTAAATGGTGGCAGTGATGCCTGAAACACATGTATGTAAATTCCTAATGTTATGACTTGACCAGTTAGTTGGTGGAATGTTCTGCCTTGCCACAAGAAACAGAATGGTAAGGTGGATAACTGGTACACACACCCTGAAAATACCTTTTTGATAATAGCCAAGGATTTACTGAACTTTCTATTTAATTAAATCAGGTTTATTATTAATACAAATTCTGGTTTGAGCATATCTATGATCCCAGCACCCAAGAGGCAGAGGCAGGAGGATCATAATTTTGAGGCCACCCTGGCTACATTAGCTCTTAAAAACAAACGTGGCAACATTCTTTTGTTACGATGCATATTACAACTACCACTCCTGCTTGGTAAGTGAAGATTTATATTGTCATCATTAATCATCACACAGCAGAGGCTAATAGCTCAGACTTGTTTGTGGTAGGAAATATAGAGTCATTCATGTAGAGCCCTGTGTGGGCTCAGGGTGAGCAAGGTAAGGGCATTTGCATGGGTGTGTTTTTGTTAGTTTCTTTTCAGTGTTGGGAATTGAAGAAGAACGGTCTGATAGGCAGGAAGTACAGATAGTATTTATTTTGTGAAGTAACTTACGGATCTAAACCAAACCTTTTTATATTAGAGCACTAACACCCCCAGGCAGTATGAAGTAGAGAGAAAAAAGCAATAGTGCATGTGCTTGTGCCCCGCCTCTCCTATGTTGGCGCTCCCTCTCTGCTGCTGCCCACTTCTTGGCAGTGAGGATGTTTGAAGCAATTACAATCCTGTCTCTGCTGCTCCTGTCCATGTTAGGCTTTTCCAGAGCAGCAGAACGCACAGGGTATTGGCATGGGGACATATAGAAAGCAGTTTATTTTAGGAAATTGATTCATGCATTTTAGAAGCCTAGTTATTCCAAATCTGCAGGATAGGCTGCAAACTGGAAATCCAGTTTGATATAGAATAAACATTGGACACGGAAACCCATCTGCTGCATCCTTTGTTGCTCAGTCAATCTTTTTCTATTAGAGCCTTCATTTGATTAGATATCTTTTTACAGGAAAGAGGGTGTTGGCTTTGCAGCACTGTAATGAAATACAAAGAGAAAAGATTTATTTTGTCTTATGGTTTTTGAGTCCTGGCTCATAACAGACAGAACTCTTTGCTTTGGGCCTCTGGTTGGGCATTAGGTGGTAATGATGGAGAATGAGAGATGGAGCAAAACCTTTGCCAGGAAGCAAGAGGAAGCAGTGAGGCTGGGCTCCCAAACCCATGAAGAGTGAGCTCCCAGTGAGCCATGACAAGGGTTCCCCCTGGGCCTCACCAGAAGGTTCTACCACCTCCCAGAAGACTTCCAAGCTGTAGTTCAAAGAATAATGTTTGACTCAAACACCTGGGCACTGTGGCCCAGCCCAGCAGAAATGTTAATCTTCTATAATAACAAACTCCCAGAGGCTCTGGCTGAAGTCATTGGGATAAGTTATTCCCATGTTTCACTCCTATTACCTAGTTATAGCGGGAGTGTGGGTTGATACTTTCCACAAGACTGACTGTGAACAGGAGCTCGTGGGAATTTCTTATGCAAATATCAGAGGATGTTTAGCCCTTTTGTACTTTGGGTGGGAATGTAAAATAATGTAACTGTTGTGAAAAAGAGTGACGGTTCCTCACACAGTTAAATGTGTAGTTACCACAACACAGCAGTTCCACTTGGATATGTACCCAGAAGAACTCAAGGAGAGGTCTCAGAAAGGTGTCTGTAAATGCCTTTTTTAAAACTCTGTGCGGCTCTCTGTCTGTCTCTGTGTCTCTCTCTATGTAGGTACTCATGGAGGCCAGAGCTCAGCCTGTGTGTGTGTGTGTGTGTGTGTGTGTGTGTGTGTGTGTTCATGCTCATGCCAGCCTCCACCTTGTTGTTTGAGACTGGATGGTCTTTTATCAGCCTGGGACTTGGCTAGCCCAGGATCTGTCTCCACCACCCCAGAGCTGGAATTAATAGCACCTATCACCACACTTAGCTTTTCATGTGGGTTCTGGGATTTGAACTTGTGTTCTTGTGACTAAGCTATCTCCTCAGCCCTGTAAATTCTTATTCTTAGAACCATTATCCACAATAGCAAAAAGTTAGAAGCAACGTGAATGTCCATTGATTGATGAGCACATAAAAACAATGTAGCATGTACATATAATATTACCCAGCCTAAGGGGGAGGGAAATTCTGGTATGTGTAAATACTGATGAGCCTTGAAGACCTCATGTCAGATGAGATTGTCAGTAGTGCACTAAACATTTTTTTTGAAACAGCTTTTTGGAAGAAAGAGACTATAATTGTTAGGTATAATCATTACTTGGGATTCCATGGATTTATGCTTTGAATTTCTAGGTTGCTTAATTAGGTAGCAAATAAAACACGAGTTCTTCTATACAATTTAGACAAGGGTAAAACAGACATGGTAACAGTGAA